TGTGAGCTATTTCTCTAAATTTATGCTGAGCAATCTAGAAACTATACGCGCACAACTTATGCTAGGTGAGAAAAAAGTTCTCAAAATTTATACTGAACAAATTAAATACTTATATCGTAGATACTCGGTAGATGAAGAAAAAGTTCTCTAAACTTATATCGAGTAAAATTAATTACATCCTAACAATGATAGTTTGGTCCAAAATTTCATAAAATGAGTAGCAAAAATTAAAATAAAAGATCATCATATATGATGGCAAACATTAAAAACCTCCTCAAAATAAGAACAATGTGTGAAAAAACTTCATTTCAACTTAAAACAACTTTTAAATAGATCATTTTATTAAATCAATTTAATTTAATCCGTTCAAATTTAAATTAATCTGCTTTGACATTTGTGACATAATTTACATGACTCCACTAATTAGCACGAGCCTATTAAGAGGAAAAATCTGATTTCCAACATATATTATTTTTCAATCTTTAACAATTTTGATGGTTGAAGGGGTCGTTTTACGAGCCTAATCTTAACATATATTAAGGAAAATTTTAGCGTAAATAGTAAAGTTATTGCGATGTAATTTTTCTTTAAGAGGTCATGATTTTAATCCGAAAAAATAATATTTTATAAAATATATAGCAGATAAGATTACGTATAATATACTCATATAAGATTGAGGAGCCTAAGTCTTAATTTTTCGATGTTTTGGTGCGGTTTTCGAGATGCTTTTTTAAAAAAAAGAAAAAGTCATTTGTCTTTGTGTAATAATAGTGTTAAAGATTATATAGTATTGTATATGAGTGTATAAATAGTTCTTATAATTTTGTATAATATTGTATATTGTGTATCATGTTTTAAAATATTTTTATAAAAATAAAATATGAAAATTTTGTATGTCATTTTATACCAAACTGAGTTTTGTAATAAAAATTTGTACAATAAGTTTTAGCTATATTTTTGCAATATAATCAAGTGTACTTTTATGAAATTCTCCTTTTTTTAAAAAAAAAAAATAGTTTAATCAAAATATCTCTAAATAGTAGTAGTAATAGAAGTTTAATTGCATTTCTAGAGATGTGAACATTCATATTAATTATATTATTTCAGAACAAATATACTTTAGATGATTTAATTTTCGTTCTTCACTAAAAAAATAGTGCTACAATTTTCATTTGGCCATAATTTAAAAGTATTTCAAAAATATTGTTCGATTATAAAAGTATCATTATTTTATCAGTTTTTAGATGAATTTTTTTATATTTCAAAAAGTGGTTTAGATCAATTTTTTTGTTGAGATTTTCGAAGTTTTCTACTTGCAAAACTTCAACTCTTTTTTTTAAGGAGAATGCATGTTACGGTTAAAGGATTTTTTAAAATCTTTTGTTCAAATTGTCTAATTTAATTTGATTATTATCTCTAGGATTTTGATAGCAACTAAAAAAATAATATATTTTAAAATCAAGCAAATTTTTAATTAATGACACCAATAATAAGAGGTTTAAATATCTTAAAAGTCACTCTTTCAATTCTTTGGTTGAAAACAAAAATGCCAAATTGATTATATTTTATAATTAAAAAAAACATGTAAATACGTCTTACTCTTAGGAATGTTTTGAGAAAAATCAAAAAATTATTAGAAAGATAATTTCACATTTCGTTTCATCTCTCGTGATATTAAACTTGTGAATAATATCTTCATTGAAATAATTTGTCATAAAAGAAAAGGTGTGAGAAAAAATTAATCTTTATTTCTTTTTAAAAAGTTAATATTAAATATATGTTCATCTTATTTTTTTTAAGAGTGAACAAATAATTTGCTTTTACTTTCAAATCATTGTTAGCTACTATTTTTTTTTCTTATTTTTTATTTTTTTAATTTCGATTTCTTCAAATTTTATTATTATTTTAAGAATTTTTTTTTAGAAAATAAGAAAAACTTCAAAATTATTAGTTTAGTATTAAAAAGTAAAGGGGTAGTTTGTTATATTTGAAATAGTTTAGGTTAAATTACCAAACAAAATCAAAATGGGGCAGTTGGTGGTACTCCTCTTTATGCACAATGTACCACTCTAAATGCAGAGGAATCAGAAGAAATTCAAGAATGTATCGTAGCGTAGGTAGTCCGCCCATCAGCTTTGAACGAACATTGCGAATTAGAGGGAAAAACAACCCCTCAAGATCAGGTGAATTTGATAATTTGAATTGTTATTATTAGTCTTTCTGATTGTATATGTGTTGGGTGTTCTTTAAAATTGATTAAAATGGTGAAAATTTGAATTGTTATTATTAGTCTTTCTGATTGTATATGTGTTGGGTGTTCTTTAAATTGATTAAATTGGTGAAAATTTGAGCCTTTTTACTGATTATGGGCAATTGGGTGTGTGGATTTTGATGGGTTTCTTCGGCTTATGTGATATTTAGAGTCTCTTGAAGTTTGATTGGTTGATTCATATGTGAAAAGTTTATCCTTTTCTTGGTGGGTTGAGCTTGAGGATCAGCTAAATGTGATTAATTTAAGTTAGTGATGCTAGAGTTTCCATCAAGTTAACTGCTTGATAGGTGAAAAATTTGACCCTTTTTGTGATTACTTGTGTTTTGGTTGAGCTTGAGACTTACATGCACATCAGCTAAATGGGATCAATTTAACACTCCAATGTTGTGACTTCTTTTCTGGAATTCCAAAAAGTCACAAGTTGGATATTTTGAACTATTCATCTTCTTAAATGGGTATGGAGGTCATGGTTTTGTTGGATGTTTTTTAGTTAATTTTTGTTATATGTTGAGGAGATGTGATGAGACGGGATGTGAAGCTGCTTCATAGTATTGAGGACTCGACTCTAGATAGGAAGGAGTTGGGGTCGTGTATAAGGGTAGAAGGTTAGTAGGGGGTAGAATGTTGTCTTACTTGCAGACTTTACACTGCTTTTCTTATTATTGTTATGGTTTCTTTGTTGTTTTTTTCTTCCTTAACTTGAGTTTAATGCACTTGAGTTGAGGAAAAACCGCCTTTGTACCTACACGAGGTAGTGGTAACTCCAACCATCAAAGGAGCCCATTACTTGCACACTCTAAAGATGATCAAAATTCAAGGTCATATTTAATGCCTTGTGTAATTGACTGCCGAAGTGGAATACTTGGTGATTGAATATTTCCGGAACAATACCCCATATAACCGGTTTTCAAGAGTTACTTGGGGGTTAATGCTACTACCTTATATTTGGTGATTGAATATTTCCAGAACAAAATTAATCTAACTTTAACTTTTTTATTTGCACCAGATTTCTCGGCGAGGACCTTTTTGTTCGTGTCATTGCTCAGTTGAGCTAGTAATGGCTAATGATGATGATTTCACTTTTTGTCAGGTGTGCCATGATAACACCTTGTAATGAAGGACATCTGAGATGTTTATGCTTAACGATCAAGTCGTATTACCTAGTTAAATTTCTCTTTTACCAATTGAACTTGAAAGATTAATTTGCCTATTTAGGTTGGAGCACCTGATAATCAAGATTATGTGGATACACAGAAGATTGCTCATGATATTAGTGAAATTAGAATAAAAGATGAGCCCTCAAATAATGATGGTACTAGTCAAAGTAATGGTGCACCATGGGAAGGTAAATTGGGCAATATTACTACCTCAAAGAAGCAGGGAACAGTTGGTTCTTTGTCTTTCACTGTTATAGACACATCTCCAGGCAAGCAAGCAAGTAGAACTTCTGGTCAAGTGGCATTAAAAGATGGTGGATTTTCAGTCCCAACTTATCAGAAGGAAATAAAACCTGCTAGGAAGCCTGTAGTTCGAGCCAAGGTCCCCTATGAGAAGGGTTATAGTCAGATGGACTGGCTAAAGCTTACAAGAACACATCCTGACCTTGCAGGTAAGAATCTTTTGGGGTAAATCTTCTACTCTTTGATGAAATTTATCATTCTTCTAATCATATTGATAAAGGATAGAAGAAAAACTGGGAATAAATACATTTCTAGGTGTGCCTGTTGGCTTTGTTTCTGCAAGCTTTATCAGTTTATAGTGAATGGACGTATAAGTACTTCATAGGTGGAATGCTTTGTAGAACAATGGAGTAGTATTATTGGTTTGCATTCTTCTGTATCAGTTTAAAACAACTCAATTTTGTTTCTATGCATAGACACTTCTGTACTTCCTTTTGTTAATAAAAGTAGTTAATACATCAACTAGACTTGACATTAAATCTATTAGGTATCATAAGGTAAGAAATCAATGTGTGGGTTTCTGGTCTAGTACTGGCTATTGTGTCCTTTCTGAGCTTGAATGGTATCAAAGCCCAAAAGTCCTTTCCGATAATGGACCAGAAAACTCATTGATACACTCCATCCTTGTCACACCTATTTACCAGGTTTCACATGCAATGTTATGTAACTTCTAAAGAGACGATTGGAACTGAACTTCATGAGCTTTTAATGGGCTCTGACACCAAGGCTGGTTAGGAATCGTACGAGCCATTTAAGAAATGGCAAACTTTGGTTTAAGAGGCTTTTGATGAGTGAAAGAACTACTTAAGAAGATCATGCGATATCAATCAATCAGTTGAACTATCCCTCTACTTTAAACTAGTTGAGGTAAGCTGTATGAATATTCTTAACCCATGCGACATTATTTTTGCGACATTTCATTCCAATACTTAATAGTTTGTCTTTTATGGTAAATTAAGGGTCCTCTAAAAAGTCATGTGATATGAAAATTTTATTTCATGTACCAGCTCTGGACAAGTTCCTGTCCTTAAGTGTGTGGAATGAGGTTCCATGATGCATGATCCTTGTAGTTTGTAGATGATATTGTATTAATACACAACACTGTTTTATTAAAAAAAATAATACTACATGTTACTGGCTAATTACAAGTGAAGTTGAACCTGCCATTTTACGTAGCCTTAAACAAAGAGGTCTTATTTTGCTAGCTTTTTGGTGCATCCTGGTTATTGTACAGGATGTTGATGCAATTTGAGATACAATAGGGGATCTGTACAGTCTGGAGTTATGTTCTCCTGTACTGACTTAATGCAAGAGTTTATAAAATCTTTGATTACTTATCAAAACAAAAAAGTTGAGCCTGTGTCATTAAGTGTCGAAGCCTCAAATCTAAAACATGCTTTAGTGGAGAATGGAAAGTGGCTATTACTCCACAGCATGAAATTGTAAAGCTCGGTATATTGCAGCTTGCTCTGCTGTAATTTTCATTTTACATATCCTTGGAATGAATCTTCTGATGCCTTGAATGCACTGAACCAAGATTAAAAGTTTATAGCACTTATAACTATGGCTGGTCTACTATATGGCTAAAAAGTTCTCTCCTATAAGAGATGTAGAGTAAACAATAAACAGAGAATGCAATGCTTATTGTATTCCATCAATTCTATTGCATTCCATCAATTCAATGTTCTATCCTATATAATATGAATTGAGAGAACTTCTTTATGACCTAAATCCTGACATATTTTAAGTGCATAATTGTCGGTCACGCGATTGGCTTCCTCCTATGAAGCTTCTCTTTCTAGTGCTTCTTATTCCCGTCGTCATGTATATTGTTCAGGATTAAATGGACAGTCCAACAGGAGACTTATATCAATGGATGAAGTTAAGGAACACCAAAATGCAGAAGCAATGTGGACTGTTCTTAAAGGGCATGTCTACAATATAACACCATACATGAAGTTTCACCCAGGAGGTATGGATCAATGCTTGCTTTGCTCTATCTCATTAATCAGTTATGGAAATCATTTCTTGTCCCTTTCTTCTGCATGGCTTTCTACTATACCTTGCACCAGATGATGTGAAAGATGCATTCCGATCTTAATAATTTTTTTCTCCACAAATATACTTGATGCTGCAGTTAAGAGTGTGAGTTTGCCAGTTTGTCAACTTAAAAACATACAGTTATGAGTGTGAGTTTGCATGCTTTTTTTTTTTGCTTCATTGTAAATGATATGAAGTTGTACTATACTTAAAGAAATGCATCAATAAGAGAAACCCAAAATGCAAACCTTCATTTAGCAAGTACAACTACTGTCAGTATAAGAGATGTACACGACTGCCATATCTCTCACGCATGTTCCTTCATGAATGCAAAGGCGAAGTCTTATCTTAGTCGTCCCTTTGGTTTAATCATTTGCTTTGACTTGAAGATAATTTGATGTGACTACTATATCTCATGTTTTTGAAGATATGATCTCAATTGCATATATATCATCATGCAAGACTTGACTGTGAAGGTGACTTCTTCTCATTCCCTGATTCGATGAAGAGGTTATGGAAGGGATGGGATGGTGGAGGGTGGGATGAGGTTTATGGATCTAATTTGTAATTTTGTATGCTAAATGTTGCTTACAGTAAGCGGTAAATTATAGAATCACCACATTAGCTGTGTGTTGCATTGAAGGCAGACCTAGGAAACCAGCATATTTACCTCATCTGAAAAAGTATACATCCTCTTCCACCTTCCTCATCCTTTGGCTTAGGAATTCCCTTCTGTAAACATTGTCAGAGAACCACTGGGATAATCTTTCTGACCTTACTATTTCCTGATTTCCACGTGTGCTCAATTTTGAAGTCATTGTCTGTTAAGCATTTTTTTTTTCATTTCTTTTTTCTTTGGGATAATGATCAGGGGCTGGGAGCTGATTGTGCACTTTGGCTCTTAAATAGCATTCCTTTTAAAGCCTGGAAATTAGGCTTCGTAGTAGCTGGCATCTTCCTTATTCTTTGCAGTTCAACTTCCATTATGTGTAGCAACAAAAAAATCATGTTTATGGATTTGATGATATACCAGACCGCTGGTAAAGCTTCCAGAATGGTTAAGAACTTGAAATTCTTTCAAAGTCAATATTTCTATTATATTTGACATGACAGAGGTTTTGATTTCCTTTAATATTTTGACCTATTTTTTCTCTTATGGAATTTGTAAAATGGAAAAATTCTGATTTTAAAGTAGCTGTTGCTGAAGTTTTACATCTGTGAAATCAACTGATGTGACATTTTCACTTTCAAATTTTAAATGATGCTTTGACAGAAGCATACATAAGAAGTTCCTTTCCCGTGTTCCACCTCTTGTAATTTGTTTGCACTCGAAGATAATTGTCAATTCTCTGTGTTGTTATTTTAGTCTCATGCATCAGAATTTCTGTGTATTTTAGCCATCTAACTTATCATGCATTCAATAGATTACTTTAGCTATAACCAAGGGAAATTTTTAGTTGGTATTTAGTTATGAATGTTATTTATTTGACTAGCTTGCACTTTCTTTTCAGGGGTAGACATGCTGATGAAGGCCGTAGGAAAAGATTGCACGGCATTGTTTAGTATCCTCTGCTAGCTCTTGTTGTTTTTGTAGTTGGTAAAACTCATATATGGTACTAGATTCAACTAGAATTTAACAGGATCATTATCGAATCTGTTCACAATTACTAGTTCTCGGATTGGTTATACACAGTATACGAAAAGTGGATCCTCTTCTGCTATTGCTGATGGAACTCCTCTTCCAGCAATATTGGCATCGGGCTCCATGAGTACCATTTATACGTTATTCCCTTCTACACAAATCCTCCCCTACCATAGTTTGCTAAATTTGTCTTGGCTCTCCTCACTCTGCCCTGATCCCCTCCTTCCTGCTGAGAGAGAGAGAGAGAGAGAACATATAGGAAATATGAATGTCATGATTAGTAATACTGACACCAGGCGTTATAAGTACCATTTAGATGTTACTCGCCTCCACACAAATCCTGCCATTTCATAGTTTGCTAAGGTACCCTGACCTACCTCAGACTGCGCTGACCCTCTCCTCCCTGCCGAGAGATAATAGAGGAATTTGAAAGAGAGTGAGAGTGAACATACAGAAATTATGTAACCTTTGTTATTAGTGGTCCTTGTCACCAAGAGAATGGTCGATGGTCTAGTGGTTGAAGCGTGGGAATAACAACCTGGAGATTCCGCTTCTGAATAATAATTACAACACTTAGTGTGAGCTCATGAGCTCCAACTTTAATCGGCATGATTAACTTGGTGACCTATGCCTTGTGGGTTGGATAGGCTGCCAGGTGGATTAGTCGAGATGCTCGGAAAAAAATGACTTAACAATGGTCATAGGGTGATATTTGCCTTAATTTCCGAGCCAAGATCAAAGGCAATAAGGATATATTTGCTTATATGGTGTCTGACTGTCTGATGAATGCCAGAGCAAAGAACTTCCTAATGTTAAGAACCTGCAAAACTAGTATTCCTTGTTTAGAATTTGATTTTTCTGTGTAGGAGAGGCAAGGCAGGTGGCTAGCCTCCTCCTATCCTCTCCTCTTCTCCTTTTTAGTAGTATTATTAGTTATCACGTAGTTTCTTACTTTTCAATGTGTATTCCTTTTTGTTGTTGCAGTTGTTTTGTATTTTACACTTTTTGCTGTCTTATTTTTCTCACAACCATGTGTTGGCTACTTTTCTTTTGAGTCTAAGATCTATTTGAAACAACCTCTCTACTCTACAAAGGTCAGGTCTACGTACATCCTACCCTTCTCAACCTCACTTGTGGGATTACGCTGGGTATGTTGTTGCTTAGAAATTGAATTTTTCTTTGTTTCATCAAGTTCTGCAATTCCTTAACACTTGGTTCAGACAAATACCATGCTTGGGTTAATGCTGAAGTTCTAATGGAGAAATGTCTTGTGGGCATTTTGGATGACAGCAAATAAAAGCTCCTTGTTTCATTGATCCCAGAAACAACTGTATCAAGAAAAACATTCTCACTACAAGAAGATTGTCCTTAACAGAAAACAAGATATTTTGCTTCTTCTGAGGAAAAGCTTACATGCTATAGTATATTGGAGTAACTATTTACATACTCAAGGATTTTGAATTTTTTTAAAGCTGTATGTCAAAGAAACTGTCTGAATCTTAGACTAATAAAACTTCAAGAAGCAGAAGCATCCTCTGTTATATTCATTACTTGGCTGATTGTGTATTATTTATAATTGCATGATCTTTTATCTTTTTAGCACTAAGCAAATCAAGAATGCAGATGAACTAAAGTTTGTCTGGAAGAGTGATTTCACTTTTCCACTTGGAATTAGCTGTTTCTGGCTTTTTGATTGCAGCCACTGAAGAGGACAAAGCAGTACATTTACAAGTTGATTAAGCTTCAAGAAAAGACAGTTCTTTCTTCTGAAGGAAGGCTATAAAGCCAGAGAAACTGTTGGGATTTATATGGGATACTTCCATTACATAAGGAATTACTGGATTATTATCATTTTGGTGTCAATTTCTGGATTTTATAAGCACAAATAACCACTTTTCAGCTTTTGTTATTGAAAAATAGTCACATGTTGGAGTTTTGAAATACACAAGTTGAACTTTAAGATAGACCTTTTCTAATGACAAGATTGGGAAGTGGCTAATTGAAAACAATCGAGAGCTAATCAAGTAAACCAATGAAATGAGATTGATAATCTAAATACTATTATATTTCATCCTTAAGATAACATGAAATCTTTGAAATGTAATACAACTTTGTAATGGAGAGGAAGTTCTACTAGTTTCAGACTTCCTTTGTAAACAAATAGTACACAACTCTTACAGCAGCATTAAGCAATTACATAGGTAAAATACAGGAATTGCCTCAAAATGGTCCTATTGATAAGTGGGGAGTATGATAAGACCATTGCAAAAACTCGATGATAAACGCTTTTTTATGTGGAGTACTTCTAGAGAGCCTAAGCAACAGGGGTCACCTTAACTTCATCAACAACAGGGCCACAAAGAGCGCCATAGTCATTGATCTTTGTGTGGTAAAAAGAACTGTAGAAAGTAATTCTGGTTCTGTCTGCAATAGCTGTGAACTTGAAACTAACAGTTTTGAAGCTGCCTTTGCCTTGTGATTTGAAGGGAACTTTGAACGTTTCTTTAGCAGCAAATGCTTCAACCATCATATCACCATGACAACCATTCTTTGCATCACCAACAGAGAATGTGAAGGCGTAGACCTTCTTAGGGACCGTCCTAATGATTTGCGCGAGGGCACTTTCTCTCCCTGCAAGAAGTTCCACTGCAGCTTGGCCAAACGGGACATTGAAATGAGCTGAATCCAAGAATTTCACTGCTTTGAGTGACTCAATGATCCATCCTGGAAGTGGGGATGTCAAATCTTCCTGCTTGGGAGGGAGGAGAACTCCATGTGAAGAGTTTATCAAGAGGTGAGGTCCTTCTTCAAAACCAGCATTTTTAACCAAGTTCACTGCAGGACACCAAAAACCAAAATCAAGAAAACAAAATTTGCACACTTGAATCCAACAAAAGTCCTTCATATACTAGACATATAAAAATGTATAATATCCTCTCATTCAACTTTGGAGTCCATTTTTTCTCTTGCATATGGCAAGTACATGGATCCCCCGGTCCCTGGGGCTGTCACCTACTCACAACATTCACAGGGTTCGACAAGCAATGAAGTCAAAATATATTAACCTTCAGAGAATATATCAATCAACTACAACTCATTACTAAATTAGTTGGGTTAAGCTACACAAATCCCCTATGTCCACCCGCTTTGTTTAGCCATTTCTTTCCGAGATAAGAATTTAACATATATAAGGAAAAGTATCCATTTGACAAGACTTCTTCATACACCTATGATTGATACAGCCTTAAATAATAGCACATCTTTAACGGTGACTTTGTACAAATAATGATAAGAAGTGGAATACAAGGTAATCGAGATGTACCTCTTGTAGGGCGAGGTGGAAAAAGTTCTTTGATAGCAACAGCATCCAAGAGTGGACCACAAGCAGGATCCTCTTGAACTCCAGGATTATGAAAGGTAATTTTAACAACATTAGAGGTGGCGTAGAAACCCCAAGCATAAGTATCACCACCATTGCTGCTATAAAGGGTCTGCAAAGGAAGGTCTCCTGTTTGAGGAGGCACTGACACCCTCAACACCTCTTCTTGAGCACAAGTTCTTGATGCCCCAAAAGTAAGTGCATACAAAGAGCCTTTCTTGACTGGAATTGTCTGAGAAATTGAAGCCTCATTCCCAAGCCTCACAGCGTGGACACCGTGGGCGACTGCGAAGTACATCCCACCGGGCTGAGGCCCGCCAGAAATATACTCCACTAAGCCATTAATCTCCCATTTGGGCAAAGCATATTTACCTTGAAGCACTGTTTTCTTCTTGAGGTCTTTTGCCTTTGGTAGCTCTTCAAAATTACCATTTGGAAGTAATCCTGAAAACAACATCTCCCTAATATCATTAACTGTAACCAAACTACACATCCAAGAAATCACTCTTTATTTGAGCAAAGACTCAACCTTTTTGCCCACCCCATCAACACCATTTAAACCCCATCAAGCAAACAAGACTAATTATAGTACAGATCCTAACAAAATGTTCTTTAAACTAAAAACAAGAGCTTTACAATATGAACCCTTCTGTCGAAACACTGTAGACACACTAAACAGAGCTGAAAAAGTAGTTCAGAACTAAGCATTCTTGAACAACAATAGAGTAAAGTCTGCAAATATATACTAAAACAAGATTGCATTTTTATACTAAAACAAGTCATTTCAAGATTGCATTTTTATACAGAAACAAGTAAAGAAAATGAGCATATTAAAATCAGAATGTGCAAGATTAGTATTACCTTCAAGAGGAGGAGCTGGGCGAACAGCAGAGGCTGTGAAGAGAAATGAGAAAAGAATCAAAACTGAAACTTTGAACACCATATTTGCAGAGTGAAGAAGAAGCTGAGGAGAAGAAAGAATAAGGTAAGAGGGTATTATATAAAAGGGTTTAAGAATTACAGGATTTAGTACTACTGTTCTTCTCATATCCTTATGTTATATATATATTTATTTATTTATTCAACGTCTGGAACCTATATTAAAATTTCAATTAAATTCGAACTGTGCACTGCATAATCTATTCAAGAATGACGTTCTCAAATTAATTTTCTTCATATTCAAGGATCAAATCCACGACTTTTGATTAAACGTGAAATATTCCAACCAATATCATAATTACTGTTATTTTCGTTTTTAAATCAATGAAATTTTTTAGTACATTGAAAATTTAATTTCATCTTAGCTATAAGTCCCGGATCTATTAACTATAATTTTCTTAGTCCTAAATTAGTCTACGTAAAAGCTAGAAGTCCCATATCTATATATAAATATAAATATATATATATATATATTTCTCCATTTTTAAAAGAATGCTTTAGTTTGATTTGGAATAAAGTTTAAGAAAAGAAAGAAATTTTTTAATCTTGTGATTTTAAGCATGTCACGTGGAAAGTTAACGTTAAAGTGTTGCCAAAAAAAGGAAAGGAATCATTCTTTTTGAAACAAACTAAAAAGGAAATAAAAATATTCTTTTTAAAACAGAGGAAGTATATATTATTTTCTTAGTCGTAAATCACTTGTCATATTAGCTTATTAAGAGATACTTCAATTGAGTTTTGAAGCTAAATTAAATAAATACTTTACAATTTAAATTTTAAAATTAGAGCAAAATTTTCTCATATCAATTTAACTTTTATGATATTTATCAAAATTCATATTGCGAAAAGCAAAACATAACAATTTAAGAACATAAACATATAATCAAAATAGGAAAGCCTTGCCTATAAATCTATATTTTACTATCGAAAATATTAAATTCAGATAAATCACGTTTATCGAAATTTAGAAATTAAGTAGAGATGGTGGGGACAGAAAAACTTTAAGGCACTCATAATAATTTTTGACAGAATGTCTAAAATACAGCTCCCTATGTTGCTTTAGAAACTTTGAACATGACTTTTTTTTCCTCCGTAATCCATGCAACAAATAGTATATTAATTAGATTATTTTAAAAAAATTATTTATTTCCATTTGATACTTAATTTAATTATACATATTTTTTTTAATTTAAAATCCAAATTCCTAAATTCCTAATAATTTAATTATATTCAATTTGGCAATGGAAAATTTCATTTTTGAAGTAGAATACTACCTATTCAAAAATGAAATATTTAAAAAATTTGAAATTCAAGATTTTCTCCTAAATAAAATATTTTATCTGTTCTTAATTACTTGTTTATTTTTTTCTTTTATAGTTATTTTTAATTACTTGTCTATTTTATCAAATCACAAAATTTCTTTTTTAGAAATTTGGCATTCTAAATTTTATTTTTCTTCCTTGTTATTAAATTGTTAATCAGATTTATCAAGAATTCACAAGTTATTACTCTCTCTTTCTAATTAGATGTCCGCTTTTAAATGGACACATTTATTAAGAAAATAATTATTAATATAAATAATAAAAATTATTATTTCTTAATTTATTAAAATAGAAAAATAATTAAAAATAACGAGAGTATTTTGATTTTTAGTACAAATATAAAATGTACAAAAAATCTAATGAAATAGTGTCCTTAATTTAATTAAGTAGTGTGGTTTAGTGTAAATTTAACTAATTAATTAGTGATGGAGTGGACCCTTAAGTTGATCACAGTTTGAATTTAAATGGATCGATTATGATGGGATCCAAAGTTGTGGGGCCAAATTTGGCGTTTAAGAAAAAATTGTGGGGTTGTTGGCGTGATTTACTCTTTTTGGCATGTGAAATATTGACAACATTACCACTTTCCTCCGTGACCCACCAACGATAATCGACGTAAATTATTAGTTTTTTTTTTGAATTATTGATAAATATAAAAGTATTTTTTCCGTCTCACTTTATATGAGGCAATTTAACTTGATGCGGACTTTAAGAAAAGAAAAGAAATTTTTTAAAACGATTGGTTCAAAATGAATTCATTATAGAATTTTGTGTACTATATAATGAATATTTTAAGTTAAATTATTACTTAATATGTAAATGTATCAATTCTTTTTTGGACTGACTAAAAAAGAAAGTAAATCACATGAATTGGAACAGAAGGAATATTATTTTACTTGATTAACTGAAC